AAATAAATAAAATTTACCGTGGTTTATATGTCATATTGCTTGTTTACGAGTATGAGAAAAATAAGCATATTTTACAAGACAAATTTCTTCTTTGTAGTTTAAATTTACAAATAGTTCGTCTTGTTATTACACTTTGGAGAGAGTGAATTGCTTGTAATACAAGTGAACATACAGGAATGTCTAGCAAGTATTATTTTTATTATTATTGTTAAAAAAAAATGTCTCATTTTTGTCTGTGGCCAAAAGTACGTTAAAACAATTCCAAAAAGTTGACTCTCAACGCTTTGAGTACATTGTGAATGTTATTGTTTGAGAATAAAATGAAAGGAAGTAGAGAGAGGAAAATGACAGTGCTCGATGTAACAGCTAACACACGTATAATGTACGAGTACGAGATAGAAAGTAAGTAAAGAGTAAAAAAGTAAAAAATAAATAAAGAAAAGTGAATAGGCACTCATGAATACCTAGTCTTATACACACTTCAAGCCTTTTGTATATTTTAAAATTCAACGCTTTTATTATATTGCCCAGCCGCAAGTTTTTTTACTTCCTCCTTCTGCCTAGAAAACTCTAACGTTTAACTTAAATTTTTCTCGTTACACCAAGCTTCTGTTCTATTATTTACTCGAAAAATTCATTTAACTTCAAGCTGTTCGTTAAATAATTATTAATTGATAAAAAATTTCCGAGTTTTTGCTCCGCAAGAAAAGAGTTCAGTTAAGCAAAGATAGCCTTGTACCCGGGGAAAAATTTCCATGTAATTTGAATTGAATTTCCCAAGTGTGAATTAAAATAATCGTTTCCCTTCACTGTCTTCTTGTTCAAGTCATTTAAAAATTTTTTTTTTACTTTTTATTATTTGAAAATGATAAAGTTTACATTAAGAATAAAAAGACAACCGAAATGGAAGTATAGATTTCATTTTATTACTTATCAATCAAAATTACAATAGAATTTTAACGTATGATTTTTATTGTGATCATTACAATGAAAGTTTTCTAATGAAAAAAATAAATTTCGACTGCAAAATTTTTATACCTGATTTTTTTTTAGTATTGCTGCATTTCTTTTAACTTTTAGACCTTAATTTCAAGTATTTTTTCTTAAAAATATTTATATTAAGTGTTTTCTATTCATGAATCAAATTTTTTATCAAATTGGCGCGCAAACTTTTTTTTAACAAGAAAAATTTTTAAAAATTTTAAAATTGTCAGTTTCTGTATTTCGAAATTGGGCAGCCGATTTCATAATTGGCATAACGGAATTGGACATAATTTTAGGCCTATACATATGATATGGTACTCAAATTGAAGCTTATTTAAAGAGCTCTCAGATGCAACTTATAGAGATATTCAATAAGTTATCCCATTAATTTCTATGAAATCTACTAAAAATTATTAGACATTATCTTGATAGTAATAAAATTAAGAAAATTATTTAATTTATTAAGATAAAAAATTAGAGTCTACTTTGCGAACAATCATAAACTTTAAAAGATTTAACGAGTGGATATTTTCTCTTTAACTTGATAATTTTGGTCGTGCAAAATTGTTCGCGAAAAAGCTCGTAAGATTTTAAAGCCAAACATGCAGCTAAAAGCTCCAGTTATAACTTGTAATTCGTAACTATAAGTATAACTTGTTTGTTATAGTTGATAGCTACAAACTTTTAATTTCATGATGGACTTATATAATCTACTCAGAAATTCTTACAAAAGTTAATTTTGCCTTGCATACAAGCCCAGAGTCTGAGATTGATTAATTTAAGTATTAATCACTCTGAAGCCTTGTGTGCTCTGTAATCGGTATTCGCGAATGTATAATTATAACTTGTGATAACCAAAGTTTGCTTATCGCGAGAATCAACTCTTCTTGCGTGGAAAATTTTTTAATTAGTCTCATGGTTGCATATTTATCAAGTCTTCTTATTTTCAAGAAGCATTCAGTCAAGAACATTTATAAATTTATTTTATCGATTCAAAGTTTATGGAACATTTTGCATGTAATTATATAAGTTTCGCGATAGTTATTCTCCTTGAAGTGGAGTTGAATATGTTGTTACTTCTTGTTACGAAGAGCAGCAAAGAGAATTTTAATTTTATTAGTTTAAATTTCTTGGAAAAAAATTAGTCACAAAATATTCTTAAAATTAATACAAACATTTTTCTCAAGTCATTAAAAAAAATTCATAAAAATTACAAGCGATAAATATACTTTCGTTGAAAATCGAAATATTAAAAACTAAACTTTGGGATAAACAAAAGAAACGAAATGGTTACTTGAATCGTAAAAATATATATTCGTCGTGTAAAACTTTAAACAGTAAACTTTTAACGACTTTTATAACTTTCTTTGCTCTATTCGGTTAAATTATTAAATAAAATGGTTTATTTCCACTTTTATATTCAACTTTCCGTACAATTATTTATAGTTTAATATTTTTCTTTAATTTTTTCATGCTAATTCAATTCGACTTTTACAAAAGTTATTTTTACAACTACTCCAACAATTTAAAATTCTTACTATTATCATTCATACTTCAATTACACTTGAAATTTTTACAAACAAAAATATTAAGTTATTTCTTTTAATAATTAATTTATTTTTATAATTTTAAGCAATTTTATTGTTATTAATAATTAATACGTACAATAATATATTGGACATTGGTTTGACGCAATTAACCAGCTTTAATTTGTACATATTTACGTTCATACCCAGAAATAAATAAATTAATGACATATGTTATATAATTATCAGTGGGACAGGTAAATTGCAGTAGAACGTTATGTCTAGGATGTGGTTAATATAATTTGACAGGATGTAGGTTTGTACAATGCATCATGCATCTATGTATGTAAAATTTATTCCCGATGTTTAGCTGCGAGTTTAATGGATAAAATACACTCGGTTATATATTTGATATTTTAACGAGATTGATAGCAAACTAGCTGAATATATATTTTTGAATGTGTATGTTTATTTTTATCCTCTTGCAATCAATTAAATAAAAATTCACAACATTTGCTCGCTTTTTCTTGCTTGTGATACATTTACTATTTTTATTTTTATATAAATTTAAAACACAAGTGATTTGATAAATAATACTGTCAGAGAGCTTTTACTTCGGCAAATATTATTGACTTTTTTACAATAGTTCCTCTCGATGAATAAAACGACTGTTCTGACAACTATTGTTCGGTTTTCAATTGACACAATATGAGCACATCATTCTTAAATTTATTGCTCAATAAAATCCACTATTTATTTGGAAATCAAAAGAATCTTTTATTTTTCTTTTATTGTTTTTAATTTCTTTTTAAATTTTATAGCCTCAAAAACTATTTTATAAAAATCCATTGAAAATTTTTTAGACTTGATATTTAATTCAATATAAAAATTTTATTATTTTTAGACTTTTTTAAATAGTTTTAAAAATTTTTTTTCTAGAGAATCAAAATCTTGACAGCTAATTTTTTTTTTTTATCAAAATTAGTAAAAAATTTATGAATAAAAAAATTGGAACTGAATTTTAAGTCATACCATTTTTAATTCAATTTTCTGACATACAACATTTGATAATAATTCTCATAATAAAAGCAAACAGTTCTTAAAATAATAATTAAAATTTCAAAACAAAATTATCAAATTTCTTCATGCATTTTTGAAGTTTTCAGTTCAATAGTTCTAAAAATAAATTTTTTTTTTTAATATTTTTAAATAGTCCTAAAAAATTTTGAATGTTTTTCTTGGAGCAAAAACAATTTTTGTTTAAAAATCTTTTTTTAATCCAAAATAAATTTTTTTTTTTTAATATTTTCTTCAGGCAAGAAAATTTAATTTAGAGTAAAAAAAAATTTTTTTTTTTCTGTGTCTATTATTCTCTTTAAAATAAATCAAACACATTGAACTCTTCAGTATCTAAATTGTACGTGATAATGATAACATAAGCTTTGAAACGTTAGAGCTCATAATTCACAAAGTAAATACGAAATAATTTATCTACTATTACAAAACTAATTCATGAGTGCTTGTAATATACTCGGGAAAGCTACAGCCCGTAAAATTACATTTGGTGTGGGAATCATCACGCATCGTTCCGCAACATAAAGGCCGAATTGTATGCTTTGATAAGTATTAAAAATTCTCTTGAATATTTTACACTAACAATAATAATAATAATAATAATAATAGTAATTATCTTGAAAGAGACTAGTACCAGCTCAATATAAGCTATAGAGCAATTAAATTGCATTGAGACATTTATTTGGAGTGCAAGCCTGTAGAATTAACACCTAAGTAACGCAATTTATGTCTTCTTATTTATAAATTATGTCACTAACATTTCCAGAGACTTGATTTTGCAGTAAAATAAAATTGAAGTTTATTACTGTCACTGGAAGCGCTACAGAAATAGGAGTCACTATATTTTATCCTCTATGGATATATCTTGCAGTTTAAATCTTACAAATAAGTTACAAGTAACATAAAATATCAAGAGGAAATTGGCTTTAATTTTTTTCTTCTTATCAGCCATATTATTTTTATTTCTACATCAGACGTTGTATTTATTTATAGTTGTAGTTCAATTTCTTCAATTACTGGACGGTTGATTTCAAATCGCAAGCAATCAAAAATAATGAAAGATAACAAATATTTAATTGGATGTTTGTCAACACAAAAATTGACAAATAATAATTATTACACAATTTTATATTTATAAAAACTCGGTTTTAATTATAAAATATTTAACGAGTTTCGAGTTTTTAACTTTTCAAAGGACAAAAATAAAATATATAATAATGTAATGAAAACAAAGTTTGTACTTTTTATAAAAATAATTGTATTTTTTCATGTTTTCAGAGACAAGTAATAATGGAGTAAACGCAGCAGCCAGGTCGCCAGATAGTTTGGCTTCCGGGAGAGACAAAAAAATAATCAAGAGTAAAAATAGAACTTTTTTAAAAATAGTTTTAATAAAAAAGTATTTAAAGAGAAGAAATGGAAAAATTTGGAGATTTGCCGAATCGCGAGTGGACCCAGCGACTGAGTTTGCGTGGGAGTAGACGAAGTCATCAGGTTTGTGTTATATTAATTAATTTTTTTTTAGAAAAAAAATAATTTTTTAATTTTCTTTAGAATTAAAAAAAATTATGTTGAAATTTAATTATAAATATTATTTTTATTTTTATTATTAATTTATTGATGCATTAAACAATTATATACATGTTTTTAGCAAGGGGGTAATATGAATAAATTTGCATATAAAAATATTAAATAAACATATCTTCATTTGTGGGCAATGTTATAAAATAATAAGAATAATGTCATGGGAACAGTAAAAAAACATTAAAAGAGATTAAAGTTGGATAAAGACAACAAATTAGAGTTGTAGGGCCCAATCTCTAAGGTACATAGACTTGTTGGTAAAATTTACAATCTTATATAAGGTTTTTTGGTCCGATGAGGAGAGTACAGCTGAAATTTGCTCCTTGCACTGTAGTAAGTTCGGTAGATAAAGATTCCTGAGGCTTGAAAAGTAAGGACATGCTGTCATAAAGTGCTCAATAGAGTCAGGTTCTTTTTGGTTGCTAAGTTGACAAGTAGAGCTCGGAGTAAATTTTATCATAAGGTTGTTCGCATTCAGGTAGCAATTGTGTTTGTTTGCCAATCTCAGTTGTGCTATCAAGCGTTTGTTTCTGAGTGGGAACCTCAAATTTAATTATAAATACGAATAATTATTTTACTGGGACAAATTTTCAAGCTCGTTATCTTTCATTTGAAAGGGTCGTACTTTTAAATTGCGATCCAATTAAAAATCCGGTAGGTCGAAAGTTAACGTGATTTATTTTTTCAATCAAAAAAATATAACTTGTTTAGTTTTGTTCGAAGTTAAAATTGACAATTTGTAAAATAAAAAAAAAGTTGCGTAGGTTATTTCAGTGTTAATGTCATTGAACTTAGTACAATTTAGTTTTAAATATTTTTAGTGATGAAATTACGCGCGATGTCGAGCAAGTGTATTATATTGTATAAGAGACAGGATGAATCGATTTGGCATTGCTAACGAGCAACAATTGTTCTCCGAGTTGAATTGTAAATGAGGGATTGCTGCGATACGAGAACGTCACTTATGTCTCCGTTCTAAAGCTTGTTTTTTTATTCAATATTTTATCTGATGAAATTTTCATTTTTACTCAATTTTTTTCCCCTAAAAAAAAAATAGTAATTTATAATTCATCGGAAATTTCTCCAGTAAAAAAAAAAAAAAAAAAAAAAAAAAATTCTTCTATCAAATTTAAAGGAGATTCCAGGCTACTGATAGTCGTAACACGATCGAACGTAAAGATCGATTTAATTGTAATTTCGCACATATGTAGATAGCTGATAGTAGATGGTGGAATGTAGATGTAGCGATGAGTGACGCGGACAGGGAAGCGTAGACTCACTGGAATAAAGCCGTCACGGAATCGATTTTGTGGGGGTACCCTGATATAATTGTGGAGCCCAGCCAGCTATTTGAGTTGATAACGAGATTATCATGACATCTGGCTTACCCGTATGCCGCTTTCGAGTAGTTGACTCACTATACTTGTCGTCAGTTTGCTCCTTTACTCTCAACTAATATACATATATATTCGTACACATAGATACATTGAATAGACTGTAGAATCTGGAGTTCACCAGAGGATGATACGAGTTGAGTGCCGCTCTGCAAGCTGCGCTACGTAATCTTCGGTTTTCGGTTTAGTTCATAATCATCGGACTTTGAGCTCCGGTATCTGTTGATTATCGTTTAAACAATAGGTCAAGTCTATAATGAACCGCAATATTGCTATCACGTATCAGCTATTATTATTACTGATGATTCTATTTGCTCATGCAGTCATAGATTATCATTTCATTTTGTTTTTTGTCGGTTGCTAAATTATTTTTTATGAGAATCTGTAAAAAAGTATCAGATTTTATTTTTATAAATTGATAGAAATATTTTTTAGTTCAAGAAAATTTATTGAAAAAAAAATTCATTGAATTGCATTAAGCAGAAAAATGTCCAAAAAGTTTTTTTAGTTTTAAAATATTCTACCCCCGTGAAAAAAAAAATATATTTCGAATATATCTAAAATACATTTGAAATATATAAAATATATATGAAAATCGGCCAAAAGTTAGTTATTAAAAAGATATTTTCATGTATTTCGAAATATATTTTTTTTTCATGGGGATAGACAAAAAATTATTTAAAAAATTTTTTGTTTTAAGATTTTTTCTCTTGATTTGTTTATATTTATTATTGATAAATATTAGCCTTGAAAGATCTAGAAACTTTAGATGTTTTTCAACTTGAAAGCTCGATGACATTATACATATCTCTTCAATAACTTTTTCGCACTTTTATCTAGTAAACTAGAGAGAAATATAAATAGTTTGTTGTTTAAAAAATTTTATCATTATTGTAAAAAGTTTAGACAGAAAAATCAAAAAAATAAGAATGAGACTTTTTTCCATTTTAATTACTGTTTATTTAAATAAAATAACCATTAAAATAAATTAAAAGAAAAATCAATCTTGACCCTGAACAAATTTCAAACTGAGGAATGACAACTCGTCAATAAAGCCCGTAAATCAGTGTTTCATGCTTTCCAACCGCTTTCAAGAACCCTCTAAACGTTGGTAACTTCTGAGCTTAGCAACTCATGCATACCCACCAAATAGTTACGGTTATTTCTGTAGTTTAGAGTTTATCAATAGAAACTCACCCATTTTCATTTTCAATTCACTTCTGATATGCAAAGCGAAGTCAAGCTGAAAATTGAGACTGTACCTGCGACTTTGAATACATACATTGAGAATATAATATAGAATCAGGTGGTTGGTTATATAGGCCCTGGGGTAGAGCGGAAGCCTCGATAAAGTCCATTTGCACTAATGCAGCCCAACATGTGGCATGTAGCCGGTTGAATTGTGCAATACATGATGTATTTTCCTCGAGTGTTCACCAGAACGCGAAAACACCCACCAGTCCTAGCTCAAGTACAACCCACAATATACTGCATACTAGTAATGAGAAATAGCATCAAGTGCAACGCGTATACCTATATCTAAAGGGAAGAAATAAATATATGTATACCTACATTCAGAATGACATATACACAGTCCTCTACCGATAGATCTAGCGCTAGGCTGTCGGTAAATTCACCAGGACCTGACCATACAGTTCTCTATGCTCCTATATCCTCGTTCGGATGAAAAGGACAGCCAAATGAAGACAAAGAGCAAAAAGGATAAACCAAAATAGGACAGGACACTCTGACTGCCACAGCAGTGGAAATATACGAACCTTCACTTGTTCGGTCTCATATTTCATTTAGACGACAGTAAAATGTTCTGTTATTATTTACTTTTTTCTTCTTTTTGGATTTCATTTATTGCCACCCTATGTCTGCTTATACTTGCATGTTGGTTATATCGGTGTAGAAACCATGTTTCGGTTACTTCTGTCGATACGGTTCACCCAATCCTATAACAGGTTTTACACTTTGTACTCACTTTTGATTGCGTGGCAATTTTTTTTGGATGATAATGACAGAAATAATTTATTTACTATCAATATTTTTTGAATATTTATTTCTTATAAAAGTCTTTTTGAACCAGAAAGTTAGCACTGAATTTTTTAGACCTGAGCTCATAAATTTCGACGATTTTCCATTTCAAAGTGTGTTATAGTATACACAAAAAAAATTTTTTTTGAATCAAGTATATAATTTAGAAGAACTTAATCTTCTTGATTTGAGTAGAAAAATTCTTGAACTAATAATTTTTTTTGATTTAATTTAAGGAAATTTTATTAGATTCAAGAATTTTTTATCTTGATTCAAGACAATTACCCTCTTCAAAATTATTTTCTTGGTTCAAGAATTTTTCTCTTGGATCAAGTTAATTTTTTTTTTCAGTGTAATAGTAATAGTAATAAAATTTAATAATAATTTTTTGGCTAAGTCTGTCTTCAGAAATAAAAATTTCAACAGATTTTTGATTTCCAAAATTTGAATCAAAAAATTTTTAGATTATTTTTTATCATGATAGCAAAATTTATTTTCAATATTTTGGTGTTTACTTCAATGAAGGTCTGAGTTAAGCTCAAGGTAAAGTGAAGAAAAATGAAGACAGAAATTATAAAATAAAAACAAAACTGTCACATTTTGAGCATTAATTTATTATGTCATAGTATTATAATAACTACTAAGTTATGATGTATCTCTGTTAACCTGTCGAGATTAATTCCGCATGTTAAACATAGAGTAATTACTTTATAAATGAATTTCAATTTTGTAACTAAATTAAACGTCAGCTTAACATTGCGTTTTTGCCAGGCTACCTAATGACCGAAGTATTTAGCGGTTAAAATTACTTCAGAAGGAATCTTTCAGACGATTTATTTCTACTTTTGGTAGCAATTAACTATTAACTAAAAATTTTAAATTAACAAAAATACATCTTTATTTATTTAAAATAAAATAATTACAGAATTTTGTTCGAAAAAAAAATAGTTGTTTACTGTTAATTATACGAAAAACCAATTCATATTCATACGATTATTAAATTTAAAATTGAAAGCGGTACAAAACTGGGTTATTCGCAAAATGGATAATGAAAACCAATATTTATAAAAAAAAATCTGTATGTGCTGAAAAATTTTATTAAAAATATTGACAGGCCGTCGAGTAAATATTTCAATTTTACTTTTTACCTGTCAATTGTAAAATCTACTATTCAATTACATGCATTTTGAATACTTTTGTTTGTTATTAAAAAAGCGTAAAATTTTTTGCTTTTTTTCTCAAATTTTATTTATTTATTTATTTGTAAAGAAACGCCCTTGGCAATTTACAACAATATGTTACATTTTGATGTGTAGAATGTTTAGTAATGATTTTATACAATAAATAGCATTTATAAAGAGAAGATAGATTTAAGAAATTTAAGGAATTTACAAAATTTTGAACAATTTGAAAGAAAAAATTTTAAAGGAAAAATTAAAAAAAATTTAAAAATTGATAATTGATAGTTACTAATTAATAGAATATATCTGATGATAGTTTATAATCACTATTTGTACACCTGGAATGTTCTTATTTTAAAATAATAATTTGGAATAATTTTTTTTATGATAAATGAGTGTTTTAATTAAAACTAAACATACCAACTCGATTTACTCCGTATAATTACGCTCTACTAATCATATTATAATATAAGCTAATTTCCGGAATCAAAACAACAAATACAAATAATTATAGGGCGCTTTGATTGTTGGCGTAGAAATAACGAAAAATTGAATCAGCAGAATTAACTGCGCAGGGAAATACTTAAAATAGTCTGTAGCAGGCAGATATCAATTGAACCGTGTAGTTCCTATTGTGAGCAATAAATTACGCGGAATCATTTACTCTCGATTACTCGATGAATTCATACATCCCCGTTGATAGAGTCGAGCCTCGTTTGCTGCATATGGATGCTCGCTGCATGTAACATGTTTCAAAGTCACGTGGATTTTGAATCAAGCCTAGTGTACACGTATAATATATAATAGTCTAGTCACGTTTATCCGTAACGCGAAATTTCATTGCACTGGTGCTGTACTTAAACCCGTAGATCTGTTCATTTTTGCTTTTTTTTTTTTTCTTGTAATTTAACAGAGTCCAGTGTTACAACTAGTAAAAAAATATTTACCAAATACTTACGATCTTTTTGTTATCGTTATTTTGGGTCTGGCCTTTTAATCCTCGGAGGCACAAAAAAGTTGTACCACTGAAAGCCCCATTAGTATCAACGACCGTGGTCATTTGAGAAAAAATAACGAGTAAAAGTTTACGAGCCCGTAGTTTATTTTTTATATTATTTTTTTGGTGAAAAAAATTCCAACACTTAGAGCTCGGAATTTAAAAAAAATCATCGCTATTTATCTTAATTTTTTCTTATGTAAATTATTTATTTTATTAATGTACTTGTGTCAACCTTTAAGAAGAAAATTTATTTACAAAATTATATTTAATACACTTAAAAAAAAATGTAGAGAAGATTAAAAATAAAAGAAACTGTTGAATATCTTGAAATATATACGTAAATCTTTGTTCTGTGAGTAAAAATACTTTTAAAGAAACTTTTAGTTCAGTACTTTGTACTGAGTATAGGGTTTCAGGTTTTATACATTCATATAAAAAAAAAAAAAATAAGATATCATTGAACCGAAAATGTGGATAAAGAATTTGCGGAGAAAATATTCTTTGTAGAAAGTTGTGTGTTCTGGGGATTTAAAATCTATTCTAAAAAATTGCACAAAAGGTTCAACTGACAGTAAAAAATATTAATAAAAGATTTTTTGGGGTTTAAAAAAAAAAATGGATTCGAAAAATTAGGCTTTGGATAGAATAAATTTATAAATTTAAATAGTAAAAAAAATAAAAATATAAAGCGGTGGTTAGTGAGAGAAGTTTAACTTAAATTTATATGAAAGACAACGTAGTAAAGTATTCTCGAAATAATTTACTGACCTGCCGCCTACAGACTTTATAAAGCAAATTCGTTAGCAATTTACTGTGCGTTAAAACTTTTATCCTAAATTCAATTAAAAAGTCAAGTTATTTTATCTAACAAATAAGTAAATTATTTGTTTAAAATGCTTTTAATTATTTATTGTTTGTAAAACAAGCAATTTTAAATTTTATCAACGAATTTAAAAAAAAAAAAAATTTCTATATTTAGAACATAAAAAAATATTCAATTATTATGTAGTCAGTCTATTAACTCTGACAGTTTAAGTCTAAGAATAAATTAATTATAAAAACATTGAGTGAAATTTTCTTAAAATAAACGCGACGGAAAAAAATGTTATCTTTAATGAGAAAGAATTCAAGCAGAAGGTTCTATTGATGATAAAGTGAACTGAAATATCCGGGGTACGGATGACGATATGTTTGGACGATAAATTCCTTCCGGATAGAGTATAAGGAGTAATGTATAGAACGAGGGAGAAATAAAAAAGATATAATACATATAATAATAAATTTTCAGGGAGAGCTCGGCGCAACCGGAATGACTGGCTCAAGAAGCACAAGAAGATGGGCTAGTTTACGGCAACACGTGACCAGCGGGGATGGAATTAAGCCATCGGTTGAATTGTTGTTGAATCGTGAACAAAACTCAAAATCACAAACCCCGAGCTCGCAGCCCCATTCGCCAAATACTCCCAGAACACCTCATACACCTCTCAAGAAGTCTAACTGGGAGGTCATTGAACACTTTACTGGCGCGCCGAGACCCTCCATTGTTACGGTAATATTTTTCATTCATATTTCATCTGCTGGTGTATTTTTGGAAGTACTGAATTATTTATTTGTTTGTTTGTTGCTTTCAGATGGGACTGGGCTCCGAAATTGGCGTCAGTTTAGCTGCCGGAGGAGTCAAGGAACCTATTTCAGTTACTGCTATTAATGCTAGTTTTACGGAAAATGAACGAAAGTGCGCGCTTAGCCGGTTTTTACGGGCGCTTTGTAGATCCCATAGATTTAAAAATCTTCAAGTAAGTCATCTTTAATTTATATATTACAGAGAAATTTTTATTTAAAATACTCATTAGATTTTTAAGAAAACTAAAAATTGCGATCATAATTCAAATTTTTTACTTTTTAATTAATTTAATTATCTACAACGTGTAGAGAATAAAATAACTATAATAAAATTAAATTTAATTGTCATCTCCGAATTGATAAAAAAGAAAATACAAAAACCTTTTGGTACAAAAACATCGTGAAAAAAATACATATTAAGCCGACAGGATTGTTAGACAGTATATCATCACGCCGTGAAAACATAATTGGATTCCAGGTTCGACACCTGCGTGTGTTCTCACACCAGTCTGGTTTCTCGGCACGGAAAATCCTTCAGAGCATATATGATAACAGACAAAAAATATAAAATCTTGCGATACTTTGTACACATATACACACACTCAAGAATATAACAAAGTAAAAGTAAAAGAAAATTGCGATGTTCATTTTTAGACCCTCTTCGTACCGCGAAAAAAGTTTTCTCAAGAAATATTTGAGATGATAAGACACGTGTCAAGATTTTTCCCGTCTGCCGCACGGGATCCATCTGTGTCGCCCATATCACCGTCGACATGATTTTCTTTTTCTACAAGCTAGAGGCATCATTATAGACGTTTGTTTTCTCTTTCTATCTGTAGTCATCATACTTTGCTCGTATCAATCTAATCCTCGTTCTTCTAATAAGCTATCATATTTTATCGAAAAGAAAAGAAAGTTTATCTTATATTATTGTATATTTATCACTTACATTCTCTTACACGCTATGGACTAAAGTAATAAATTTTTTTGTTAATTTTTTTACAAAAATATTTTTCTAATAATAATTATCAAATAGAAGGATAAGTTCGTAATTTTTTTTTTTTTTTCTATTAGTGTGAATTGTTATTTTTTTTTTTTAATATTTAAATGACTTACTAGTAACCTGCAGTCACTATGTGACTGCCGAGAATTGTGAACTATAAATAAATAAAATTTTACTTGATTAAATAATGACTTTTGTTAAATTGCACTGTACTTCCTTAACTATTGACGTTTTTAAAGATATAAACTCATCCCGATGTTACACTCATCAAGAGCTTTCATTTGAGTACCCACATGTATCTTCATATATTTTTCATATGTACATATATATAATTCATATAAATATATAAAAAAGTGATGTGGGTACTCAAATGAAAGGTCTCGATGAGCATAACATCGGGATGAGCTTATATCTTAAAAAATGTCAATAGTTTACAAGATACAAGGTCATTTCTTAATTATGTTAAATTGCAGTGTACTTTCTTAACTATTGACATTTTTAACGATATGAGCTCATCCCGATGTTACACTCATCAAGAGCTTGCATTTGAGTACCCACATGCATTTTTGATATATTTTTCATATATACATATATATAATATATATAAATATATAAAAAATTGATGTGGGTACTCAAATGAAAGGTCTTGATGAGTATAACATCGGGATGAGCTTATATCTTTAAAAATGTCAATAGTTCACGAGATACAAGGTCATTTCTTAATTATGTACCTGGAAATAGAGCATTTTCGAATGCAGCCTAAATACTTAATCATCATAAATTGACTATTGGTGGGAATGATATGAAATCTTGAGAAGGCACAAATTCATTCAAGACCTTTGCAATAACACTAAATTTTATTAAAAAAATCTATTTTATCATATGACTATCTAGGACACAAAATTGTTCTTATTCTCTTAATAACATAGATAATCAGAAATAGGCAAAAAAAAATTCTTTCTAATTTACATAATTTTATAGAAAAATTTTCCATTATTTTTTTAATTAGTAATTTTAAAGAAGTTTTTTCTTACACTAATAAAAACTCGACTCAATTTAAGAAAAAAAATCAAAGCAAGAAAAATGATCTTCAAGAATTAGATCATTTTTCATGAAGTAGAAAAATTTTAAAACTAAACTTTTCTTCTTGATTTTAGAAAAAGAAAAATTTTCTTCTTTTAGTCCAAGTTAATTTTTTTTTATTTATCTCCAAACATTTTCTATAAATAACTAAGTGCATAAACCTTAGTATTGTATTCAAGATCATTAGTATCTCGAAGTGCCTCCCCTAATTGTTCTCGATGACAATCAAACACCCTGATATCGGATATTCAAGCTCATGCAATCAAGATATATAACAGGATCTAAGATAGAATAATCATGGGTATGAATATATTAGTAAGGGTATATCAATGACAGTTGCTATTGAACAAAGTGATCTATGAAATTATTGACATTGATGCAATGACTGAATTAATTACCAACACAACGTGACGACTATTAGAGCTCTATCTATTCATGTCAGTGATTTCTCAGTGATATATATACATATACATGTTATATCATTAAGTTAAACTATCGATCCGCGACAAAGGTATTCAAGTCTGCTTGAGCGTACATATGTCTGCTATCAGACCATGACTGTTGAGCCTTGAGATGCGTGTGCTGTGTTATAGTTCGCTGCTAATATTCCACGGCAACACATCTGCAAATTGATCTGACCCGTTAATAGACTTCAGATTAATTATGAGATGATTCGCTTTCTCTTTCAGAAACAATATCGTCCGAGGATTCCCCGGTTTCCACGCGGAATAGATTAGCACTTGATAAATTGTAAATAATAATAATAAATTGTTATCGTACCGGAAATAAAGGTGATAGATTATCGCTTATCTATTGATCGAACACGTGAGGCCAGAGAAAGCTCGACTCTTATCATCTCTTCTGCAACATTGGGTTTAACAAAACATCACCCATCACTATCGCAATCAACCCGTTTTGCCCTTTTGTACGTGGTTAGATCCTCTTGATTCTCAATGTATACTTATATATATATCACTCACATTGTTTCATTTTAGATAATTAACAGCGTACAGAGCTTTTCTATTGACATTCTCAATTGGTTTGTTTACAAATATTTATCTACTGATTTTACACTACAGATTGACCCGATTTTCAATTTTATACAACAAGTTTTTATTTTTTAAAATAACAAGTTTTATTTTTAGACTTTTTGTGGTAATATGGAAAAATAAATTTGCCTATCAGATTTTTAAATTACCTTTTTTTTTTTTTACTTACAATTTAGTACAAAAATAATTTTTAGTTTTTTGACACATTCAATAGATTTTTGTTTTAAGGGTATTTATTATTTAATTTTTATACAACGTTTCGCCACTTTCGCAGCTTCTTCAGGTACTACAACAGACAGTAGTAATAATAATTACAATTTAATTATATATAAATACATTAACAATTAATAATAATTTAATTTACAGATCAAATTAAACTAGTTTAAATACACTAATAAATTACCTCAACTATAAACATCATGTATAATAATCTCGGCATTCAAACGACTTGTAATTTCTTCTATTATTAGTATCATCTCACAATAGTCAAAATAAGTTAAATGGCGAAACGTTGTATAAAAATTAAATAAACATCAAATAATAAATAACATAAATTAAGTTTTTTGATTTAAAAATAATAAAAAAAATTTTTTTAATGATAAATAATAACAATAATAATAAAATAAGATTGAGTAATATTAGACGTATATAAAGCCCTCAAAAACTTTATATACTTACGTATAGCACACCACTTACCCCCGAAGATTGATGTTAGGATAAGTATATTGAGTTCGCTGGATTTGCATGTACTTCCAACTTATTCGCTATTTCAACGAGTTAAAAAAAATTATAAAAGAAAAATTGCTAAAAATATTTTATAAAAATAAAATAAAGGAAGTACCTGGCCATATTTTTTTTATCGTAAAGATAAATTACATTTATAGTTTTGGAAATGCCAGTCTAAAAAATCAAAAAAATCGCCAGTACCATTAATTATTCATAAAATGAAACGCTAAACTAATTACACAGCTGTAAAGACTGGATAACTTGAATATCAAAGAAGAATAATGTATTCTTTTCTCAGAGGAAGACAAAATTAAATAGGATGAAGCTCTTTGTGGGTTAAGCTAAACGGCACTCCTACGCAAACATCGTTTGGTTATGTACATCGTGATCTTTTCTCTTGAAACTCGAAACTCTATAACACTAAATTTAGTATTTTGAGATAGAATAATCTGACACTGCATGTACATCAGGATGTTTTACTCGAAACAAAACAAGTTGATAAGACAAAGAGGATATGGATTGTCCGCCAATAGTAATTGAAAATTCTCCAGTATCCAGCAGCAGCAGAATAATGGAATGATTCGCGAGGGAATTCTAGCGTGGTCCAATTAGATTTTCAGTTTCATATTCCCGGTGAGGTCTAGGCTCTCTATTTTACACTATATCCACTGAAGAAACCTTATACCAAACACGCTCGCTAACCTAACACGAATCCGAGTACAGAGAACAGTACTGTTGAAGAGTTGAGACTTGAATCCTATTTTTCCTTCATTAAAAATAATTGATCAGCAATTCAATACTTTATATGTGGTCCAGCAATTGTAATGACACTTGAGTTACGAATTTAATTGTCCTAGCAAATCATTATTAAATTTTAAATATCGAACTCTTAAAAAAAATGCATTATTTCTTCTTTTTGATTGCTTAACAAAAATTGTCTTTAATGTTTTAAATTAATAACCCAGGTGGAGATGTTGTACCAGCGTTATTTTCTCCGGATGAATCAGAGCAACATGACCCATGTACTGGGACTCCTTACCGGGCTATCAATAGCTCTCGGATTGCTGGTACTCAGACTCATATTTACCAGTGATCAACCTTTTATTACTCTCATCCAGCGACCGGAAAATTTATCACTGACACTCGCTGTACTTACTTGTATTGCTGTCTATGCAGGTAATTTATTCAATTAAAAACTACTAGATATATATTTATCACTTTCCTCTAGTTTACGTCAATTTTTATCATCATTTTTTTCCTGTTCACCGTTTTCCTCTTGACAATTATAAAATTCACTTATTTTTACCGATAATTTTTTTAATTAAAAAAATTTGAATATATTTATAAAATATTTTTAAAAAATTCACATAATTATCTATGAAAATTTTTTTTTAGAATAATTTTACATAGATTACTATTAACTAGCAACCTTGCAGTCACTATGTGACTGCGGTGATTTGTGAACTATAAAAAATTAAAACTTTGCTTTATTAAATAATGACTTCTGTTAAATTACACTGTACTTTCTTGAATATTGACGTTTTTAAAGGTATAAGCTCATCTTGATGTTACACTCCTCAAGAGCTTTCATTTAAGTACCCACATACATTTTTTATATATTTTTAATATATACATATATATATAATATATATAAATATATAAAAAAATGATGTGGGTACTCAAATGAAAGGTCTCGATGAGCGTAACATCAGGGTGAGCTTATATCTTAAAAAATGTCAATAGTTCACAAGATACAAGGTCAATTCTTAATTATGTATCCAAATTTCTTATTTTTTTTATAATATAGATTATTTAAAGATTTTTTTCAAATTTTTTTTTTCTTTTCTGATAAATGTCAATTCAAATTCTATTGTGTAATAAAATATATGACGTTAGAACTGAAAGTTAGAAATAGAAAAATATTTTGACATTTTATTGATATATAAATCAAAACCCAGTCAAAAAATCACTCTCTTGACTTCGCAAATTGACTGTAAGCTGATAAATGTCCCAATAAAAAAAAAAAAAATTATAGGACTGGTAGCAGCAATATCCCGACCGGGAATGAACGAAGTCTGGTTAGCGGGAATAAGTGGAGCAATACTAGTGACGCTTTTGGCGCTTCAAATAACCCTAAATATTCATCTGGCATATTTACCGAGCTGGGACAACAAGATAGTGATGAACAGCGAGGACATGACGATGACCAGAGAGCCACTGGATGGTGATCCCGACGCCGATGCCACGGCTAGCACAATCTCAATGACGAGAATCGATCATTTGCGGACAGGTGGACCGCTCGCCGCGGCTTGGTCCGTCTGTTTTTTTATCTACATGGCCTACGCTCTTCTCCCGATACGACTACGTCATGCCTGCATTGCTGGTGTTATTTTCTCCGTCACCCATCTCATTGGCGCTTTTGTACTCTACTCCCAAGACTACCCTGCAATGCTCGCACACGTGAGTTTTTTTTTAAGTAATTAACTAATCATTAATTAAGAATCCAAAATTGCAATTTTTAGTTGATAATTTTTTATTTAATTCTTTGTTTTATATTTAGTGAACATTCTTTATTCCCCAGCATTTTCAAAGTCTACCGGGTAAGGAACTGGGCCTTTGTCATCTGGGCTTGATTCGTTTAAAACTATAGCTGAAAAATATCAATTATTTTTAATTATTTTTTTAAAGAGACTAGAATTTGAATTTACGCGCGCAAGCGCGCGCTTTGACTATAGAGTTTGCATATATTTTCATGCTTATGATATATTCAACCAATCACGTTACGAATAGTTTGATGCCACATACATTTCATCTCAATTTTATATTAGGACTTTTTAATAGATTAATATTTTCTAAGAAATAATTGAAGGAATTTTTACAATTTTTAATTTGTAATAAAATTTGAGTCTTAAATTTTTTATACACTGAAAAAAAATTAAATTGATTGAAGAGAAAAATTCTTGAACCAAAAATATAATTTTGAAGAGGGCAATTGTCCTAAATCAAGACGAAAAATTCTTGAATCGAGTAAAATTTCTTTAAATCAAGAATTTTTTACTCAAATCAAGAATATCAAGTTCTTCAAAATTATATATACTTGATTCAATAACATTTTTTTTCTGTGTAAAAATATAAAATATTTATCTGAATTATTAATTATTAATTGGATGGAATTAAGCAATAATGTCTCAACCAACATTTTTTAAAAAATCGAGTTATTATGATGAACGTACTTAGTATCATAAGATTGCTTAGTTCATCATAATAACACGATTTTTTTTATAAATGTTGGTTAAGACGTTATTGCTTAATTCCATCCAATTATTATTAATTAATAATAATAATTATTAATTATTATTATTAAGAGTTTGAATTAATTCGTAGCGTTTTTTTTCATTACAACGTTTTTGTAAAACGCTACGAATTAATTCAAACACGTAATTACCGTAATAATTCCGTAATAATTACACTGATAGAAGGATTTCTCAGCATTTAAGAAGATTTCTTTGTATTTAAGAAATTATTTCTTAAACATCATTTCTTAGTATTTAAAAAATATTTTTTAGTATATCGACTCTAACTCCATTTTAGAGAATTTTCTATTTGTACGAAAAAAAAAAATCAGTTCAAAATTTATTATCACTTTAAAAAACCATTTAATATCATTAGATATAATATTTTGGTTTGAATCATTCAAATAATTTATAATTGGATTATTACTACATCAAAATATTAAAAAATCACCCTCTAAAAAATAAGGAGTTAGACAAATTGCTAATTAGACCGTCGACATAAGAAATATTTCCTGAATACTAAGAAATATTTTTTAAATACTAAGAAATAATGTTTAAGAAATGATTTCTTAAATACTAAGAAATCCTTCTATCAGTGTAATGTTTGGATAAATTAATGAAAATTATAATTAAGAAAATTGGATGAAAATTTAAGACTGATCAATTTAGTCATTATTGATAAATATTGCTCACTAACTTTAAAAATACAATTTTCAAAAAATTTTACATTTTTGATGAAAAAAAAATTAATATAACTTTTAAATTTGATACTAGAAAAAAGAATTTACCTGCAATGATAGATAACAACAGCGAAGTAACCAAAATTTCTTTTAAAATAAACTTAAGCATGTTTACTAACAATTATATTGTTGTATTTGCAATTAGAGTTAAATTCAATAATTTACAGCGTAATGTTTGCCTCGAACTGCCAGCAAGTCGCGTTTTACGTTTTTCAAATTAACTTTTATCACAAGGTTGCCAAACGATAAGACCGAGTAAACGCGAATGAATTATGCACGTAATTATTACCCCTGTTGGTAATGGTAACTAAACATTTATTTACATGCAATTTCATTTTTAAATTCACCCGTTCAACATTTATTATTTATTTTTCATTGTCAAGTGTAATCACAGAAAAATAACTCACGTAGACTGTGATTAATGTTCATGATAATTATCGAATGCTTACAGTGTAAATATTTTAATTTGTTTAAGTTTCAGCATGACAGACTTTTATGTATTACTTATTACTATAGTTTTATTTAATACTAAATCTTTTGATGTGCTGGATAATTTTTTGCGCTCTTTTAAAAAAAAAAATTCCAAAGATTTTTATATAAAAGTAGAAGATTTAAAACTTCCGTAGTTAAAAACTTTCTCAATAAAAATAAGAAGAACTGTTAAGCGATGGGTCAATATACTAGTTAAAAAAAAATAAAAATAAAACCAATGAATTGCACCGTTAATAACTTTGAAACAATAAAAATCAGCTAAAAATAGTTTCTCAATGAGGAAAAAAAATTTAGCATCATAAAGGATGAAAAAGGATGTAAAAGTTGATCCTCTTGTAGCAGCAGCGCATCCCAAGTTTTACAGCACATCGCACTTGCTGTTGACGATCTCCTTCAACAGCACTCTTCGGCTTTTTTCGACGTTAAGCTTTTGAATTTCTTGCACTCGGTGACGTGAATAGAGCTTACGAGCATATATACAAATATTTATATACTTTCAAGTGTATATACGAAAAAAAAAAAAAAAAAAAAAGTACAGGTACACCGAACTTAATAATATATCAAAATAAAAATACTCTGACTCGAGAAAAAATTTATTATATTACTAATTTAATTTATTAAACCGATTAGCATCAAATTAATCTAAAAAATTTAAAAGTTTAACTGCGCGTTGTCAACTTAATCTAAAAATTAACATATTCTCATCTTTATAATCGATTCAGTACGTAATAAAGTGATTTTCACTTGTAAAAAAATCCTTACTTTTTCTAGTCACTTAAACTGATGAAAATCAGGATTTTATAATCTGGAACCGACGGTTAATTTATTATTCAATGTTATTTTTATTTTATTAATGGACCAAAACAAATTTAAGACTATTATGCAAAAATTTTAATAAAAATCTTTTTATTTCATTTTTTTATTCGTTGATAAATCCAACAAAATGAAGTCATTCCAATTCTTATTTGTTGTTATTAAATTTTATATTCGGCAATAAATATACATCGAAAAGGTTTTTTATTGGACATACAATAATAAAATAAGAGATCAATATCTAAGTAATATTCTTTGTTTCTTTACCCCTATTGTAAGTATATATCTCAGCGATGTTTCTATTTGTGTTAACAAGCTGTACTACTAAAGATAAAGAAAATTGATCTGAGATTTAACTCACTGATAATCTCTGATTGAAAAGTTCTTCCAATGCGCCTTTGATATTAGTAATAGTAATGATAATAATAATAGAACAACATGCACAAGCTGGCTTTATAATCATCTTTTTCTTCTTTACATTCTTTATTCGCTTCAGTTATTTTTTCGCAACAAAGCGCTGTAAAAAATAATGATAATAATTATTACCCACAAAAAATATTATATATTTTAATGAAAATTAAGTTAGCCGACATTTAAAAATTTTTCATTAAAAAAATCATTATATAAAAATTTAAAAAAAATTTCATTTGTAAAAAACTTTAAAAACTGAAAGTGCAATTTTAAAAAAATATTTTTTTGTTCTAATTTAATTTAAAAAAAAAAACAATAAAAAATGTCGGTCAACTATAGTATCATATATTTTATTATGTTAAATTTATTTTTAGAGATGCGTAAAATTCAAAATTTATTTTAATGATCAAAAATTGAATAAATGTAAAAAAATAAAATCAAGCATTTTTTAAAAAATTTTAATTATAAATTCCAATTTTTAGATGAAATATTTCTTCACCTAAAAAAATAACTTACACCCTTATGGTATCTAGTAAAACATATTTACGCCTACTCACCATTTTTGACATGCATATAAATTTATTACAAATTCAAAAAACATCTCTATTCAAATTTTGTACTCCCCAGTGAGTTTAATATATTTAATCCAATGATTTAAATTACGCTGAAAAAAGTTTTACTGACAATAAAATGAAACATCATTCAAGGGGAAATGGATTAGATGTCTTAATCAATCATAATCGTAAAAAATGAAATATTATAAGTAATGCTCTATTTTTATTTTTATTAATCCCAAGATACTTTTTTATCTTTCTTATATTTTTGTGGGTGTTTTGAATTTCAACGAAGAATGTCAAAAAATGTTAACTAGTCACAATGGAACTTGGACAATGGCTTTAATTAAATTTTGCGGCTCCGGACATTGTAAGCTCGATGTTAGCAATTGTTTTATTGCAACAATGTCAATAAAAGAAAGTAATTAATTTGCTGTAACTTTAATTAAAGTGTTCGAGATAAAGGCGTAGTTTTGTTGCAGTAAGCATAAAGTTGTTAGAGTTTACAACGAAATGTTGAAAAGCGCTGAGGAGTTGAGGAATTAATTTAAGACAGTTGTCTTAATGTAATTGAGTTTTGGGAAAATGATGCTAGATCGTTGACATATTTTATGTGGGTATTGGTGGGTGAATTATTGATTGACATGATACGAGTATGTAGAGTAATTTTGTTGAGTGAATTGAACAAAGTTTGCTGATATGTGAAATCATGTTAGGTAGACAAATATTTTTTTTATCATTGATTTTTAGTATGGCTAGAATGATTTTGTTGAAAATATTTTTAGAAAGAGAAAGTTATTAGCTATGATTAAAATTATTGGGAAAATGTTATTATATATAGGCCAAGTAATTTTATTTAAAATTTTGTGAACGATAGAAAGTCATTAATTATAATTAAAATGATTGAGAAGAAATAATCACTATGTGACTGCCATGACTTGTGAACTATAAATAAATAAAATTTTGCTTTATTAAATAATGTCTTTTGTTAAATTGCACTGTAATTTCTTAAATATTGACGTTTTTAAAGATATAAGCTCATCCTGAGCTTACACTCATTAAGAGCTTTCATTTGAGTACTCACATGCATTTTTATATATTTTTCATATATACATATATGTTTTATATATATAAATATATAAAATATATGAAAAATTGATGTGGGTACTTAAATGAAAGGTCTCTGTGAGTGTAATGTCAGGATGAGCTTATACCTTTAAAAATATCATTAGATGACAAGATTCAATGTCATTTCTTAACTATTGATATTTTTTGTGATATAAGCTCATCCTGATGTTACATTTATCAAGAGCTTTCATTTGAGTACCCACATGTATTTTTGATATATTTTTCATATATTCATATATATAAATATATAAAATATATGAAAAATTGATGTGGGTACTCAAATGAAAGGTCTCGGTGAGTGTAGCATCGGGATGAGCTTATATCCTAAAAAATGTCAATATTTCACAAGATAAAAGGTCATTTCTTAATTATGTATCCAGAGATAGATCATTTTTGAATACAGTCTAAATACTTAATCATAATAAATTGACTATCAGTGAGAATGAAATAAAACCTTGAAAAGTCACAAATTCAAGTCAAGACCTTTGCAATGACAGTAAATTTGACTAAAAAAACCGATTTCATCATATGACTAGACTGGAAACAAAATTTTTCCTATTCTCTTAGAGTTCAAAACTTTGACATAACTTAAAAATTCAATTATATTTATTCCCCCAAAACAATCTGCGGTAAAAAATGACTTATCATAGCAGATAAAAAAAAATAGAATACTATAGATGAAAAACAAAGATTAAAATGCTTATAAATAAAAATAAATCCCCTAGGAGCTATAAATAACAGAATCATTGAGAATAATTAAATAACAATTTTATCGAAACCCCCCTAAGCGTATAACTATAAATACTATTAGAGAAATATATTTAAAAGTTATTATATTGCGTAGGCAGGCACGGAATATAACACGATTAAATAAATTATAATAACAAAATACAAATAATAAAGATGTGAATTTTGGACGTAACTGACTGAAAGAATTTAAGCAACATGAATAGACGGTTTTACTCTCGGGAGAGAAAGTTATTGATGCGAATAAGTTATACACTTTCTGGTGGGTGAAATTGTTTGGCCTCAAGACTTTAAGTACGAATAAATTCAGAATTTATATATCTATCCATTATATAATATACATATAATATAATGAAGTAAAGAACAGAGAGTAAAGAGTGAAGAGTAAGCTGCACAGTAGTAAGCTGCGATTTAAGATCGACGAGCAGACGAGGATTTTCCTCACTCTCCACTTTTCCCTTGTTCATTCTTTACTTTGTTTTCCACCTCATATTCCCTTCCGCTGAGTCAGGGAATTTGGGGGAGAGAGAGTTTGCTTTAGTATACGAGTCGACTTATTTTTCTCCTACGCTAAGACTCCACGGTGTTGCTTAATGTAAACGACTTGATATTTAATATTTGAGCAGACCTGACGGTGGACCAAAACTTTTGGATTTGATGCAAAGATAAATCTTTTTATATAATTTAGGGTAAATTTCAGTAATACCACGGATTTTTTTAATTATCTTCTTTTATAAACTTATAAATCAACTTTCATTCATTATCCATTTGATTATAGTATATTTCATGCGTGAGAGCATTTAACTTTTTGGCCATAGGTTGTATACTATTTTTACGGGGGGCTGACTTTTGCAGAGCCGAGGCGAAGCCGAGGTTTTACTGGTCGGGGCGGGCTTAAAAAAATATATCATAAATAAAATACAATTAATTGTACGATAATTAGATCCTGAAACTAAAAATTAAGAATAAAAAACACATAGAGTAGAAGTACCGTTTGTGGCCACTGTACCGTTTATGACCATTTATTGTTCAAATAAAATGTACCTGAAGTTCCGAACGTTCATTTATGAACGAAAATCAAAAAAAAATTTTTTTTGCTCCTGAAACTGAAAATGGTTTTTCAGTTTCGAATAGAGACAGTGAGCCCTAAAAATGATATATTAGCTCCTCAAAACACAAAAACCACCCCTCCAGCCACCCCAAAAACTTACACTTGGAAAAAAAAATTTAAGATAAAATCCTTCAAAGGGCCTTTGTAACGATTTTTTCCGAATTTTTATATAATAAGGGTAAAACTTTGAAGTGGCTGGAGGGGTAGTTCCGGGGCAGCAAATGCCTTGGTGATTTTTTATATTGGGTGGGGGTATTGTATGAGTCTTATAAAAAATCGCCAGCTTCAAAGGGCCCTCGGAAAGATTTTTTCTGAATTTTTATATAATAAGAGTAAAACTTTGGGGTGGCTGGAGGGGTAGTTCAGGGGCAGCTAATGCCTTGGTGATTTATTATATTGTGTAAGCCAAACAAATGATTAGCTTACTAACTTAAAAAAAATTTAGAATTTTCATTTTTACATACGTCCGCGTGGGTATTGTTATCAAAAGTTAACTAGAGTAAGGTTTAAAACTTTCGATCGGTTCATTTCTAATCATCGTTATATACCAATCGAATCGATCTTACATCCTCCACAAGCATCCTAAACCAAACAAATGATCAACTTACTAACTTGGAAAAAATTTAGAAATGAACCGATCAAAAATTTTAAACCTTACTCTAGTTAACTCTTGATAACTTTTAATAACAATACCCACGCAGACATGTAAAAATGAAAATTCTAAATATTTCCAAGTTAGTAAGCTAATCATTTATTTGGCTTAGGATGTTTGTAGAGAATGTAAAATCGATTCGATGGGAAGATAACAATTATTAGAAATGAA